GGGTATTATAATTTCAGTCAGATGTTTGCAACGCAGTGAAGGAGACGTTTCCGACCACATAAAGTATATATATTCTTGATCAGCACCAATAGCCGAGTCTATCTAGCCATGTCCGTCTGTCCGTCTGTCCGTCTGTCCGTTTATATGCGAACTAGTCTCTCAGTTTTAAAGCTATCGCGATGAAACTTTCCCGAAAGCCTTCTTTCTATTGCAGGTAGTACATATGTCGGAGCCAGCCGGATCGGACCACTATATCTTAAGGCTCCCAAACAAATATAAGAAAATTCATTGTAACTTTGTAGGAAGTAGGCGTTTTGATTCTTGACTACTTAAAAACAAAATTGAAATAAATCGAAACGCTGAATCTGGAATCCCTGGAACTGCACCGAGTGAGTATTCTTTTATCTACAAGGGTATATAAGCTTCGGCTGGCCGAAGGTAGCTTCCTTTCTTGTTTTTTTTTAAATTTACTTTTATATGATTAAATGATTTCCATACAAACTGTTTTTAATTAAGGTTTATTTAATTTAATATAACAAAATATTAATTTATTAGCTTTTCTATTCACTTATTAGTAATCATAATATACTGTTTAAGTACAATATTAACATTAAGTAGTTTTTTTTATTTTTGTAGAATAATGGAGAAATGAAATAATATAAGTTACTTTTAAAATTGTAATCATCTCTAAATGAATAAATAAAATAAAATGAATTAAAATAAATAACAAGAAAGGAAGCTAGCTTCGGCCAGCCGAAGCTTATATACCCTTGCAGATCATTCCTATTAATTAACAAATCGCAAACATGTTCAATTTTCTAATATTTCTCATTTATTTACGATCGTTCCTATGGCAGCTATATGATATAGTCGTCCGATTTTGATCCAATTAAAATTGAAATTCGGAAATATTTAAAAAGAGTCATATCCTAGAGTAGAAGATAATACAATAAAAACCAAAGAAGCTTGAATTTATTTCCTATTACTTTTCCATTAATTTTCCGATCGTTCCTATGGCAGCTATATGATATAGTAGTCCGATTTTTTAAATAATTAATTCGAAATTCAGAAATATTTAAAAAATAACATCCCCAAAAGTAGAAGGTAATATTTCAAAAAACACCGAAGCTAGAATTTTTTAAAGTTTTTTTTCTCCGATCCTTCCTATGGGAGCTATAAGATATAGTTGTCCGATCCGGTCGGCTCCGACATATATACTACCTGCAATAGAAAGAAGACTTTTGGGAAAGTTTTATCCCGATAGCTCAAAAACTGAGAGACTAGTTTGCGTAGAAACAGACAGACGGACAGACGGACAGACGGACAGACGGACGGACAGACGGACATAGCTAGATCGACTCGTCTTGTGATGCTGATCAAGAATATATATACTTTATGGGGTCGGAAACGTCTCCTTCACTGCGTTGCAAACTTCTGACTGAAATCATAATACCCTCTGCAAGGGTATAACAAAACTCAACTTAATATAATGCATTTCCAGTTTAAATATATATATATTTTTTTAGGTGTACTTAATTACCCACATTTTCCTTATGTGTAAGGTTCAGAGAGGCGTGAGGTCAACGTCTGACTGTCTTGTGTCTGGATATCCGATATAATTCACATTCAATTTCCATTTCCAATCCGCGGTTGCGGCACCCGAGGCACAGATGTGTGTGTGTCGCATCCCAGAATTCCAGATGCCGTCAGATGCAGTCGCTTCCTCGTTCTCCTCTTCCTCCAGACCCACGTAATAATCAAACCCTTGCGAGGGGAGATACTATATGGTATATGGCATGGCATGTTGTTCCTGCTGCCCCTGTAAACAAAACATTCATCAAAATTTTATACACTCAACATGTGCCACGCCTGACTGCAGTTTTGCTTTCCCCCTCTGAATTTTCGCCTCGGGCTGACAATATTGTTTGTGTTTTCGGCTGCCCGCTTCGATTTTGAATGTTCTTTGAAAAATCACAACTAATTAACTTTGCCCATAGCTCCAAATTACGTGGGACTGGAGTTGGGGGGTTTTTCGGGGAGGTGCTATTTGCCCTTTGGCATCGGGAAGCGTTTTTTGTGTGGCCTGCTGCTCCTGGCGGCCAGATGTGTGGGCTGTGTTGATCTGTGTTGATGAGTAGCTGGCTCCGAAAAAGCAGTTTATAAATAGAAAACGTGTTCGGGCTGAGGTAGTTCGCCCCACACATCCGGTCGCTTGATAAGAAATCGCCGCTAAATGAGGCCCATCAGCGACAGAGGTGAGCTACGCCGAGACTTACGGATTTGTAGGGTCGTTTCCCTCTGTGGTCCCCATAAAATGTTGAACTTTATCGCGAAGTTCATCAGGCTGTAAAAGGGAGGCAGTTTAATTATATCCGTATGGAACTGGTGCACGATTTTTAAAATATACGGAATTGTAACCTTGATAGTATTAAATATATGATGATTTGGGATCAAAATTTATAAGAAATAAATTTATAAAGCAGTATTTCAAAACAAATGTTAATATATATTTATAAGGAATTTTAAATTTTTTATTTGGAGTCTTGATTATTCTTTGTTATTACCTAAAAAAGAAATAGAAATTCTCAGCAACAGACTTTATAAAACTATAAAGAATTTACCTGTCAGTAAAAGCCACCACAAACTGCAGTGCTTTTGTCTTTTCATTTTTTTAACCTCCACAATGCGCAGTTTGATATCTTCTTTTGGACCATTTTCATTCCATTTTCTCAGCTTATTTCGAGAAGCAAACTTTGGTTAATTGCAACAATCGTGGCCGTGGGTTCGGGGGCTGTGAAAAAGTTCATAAAAATGAGTAATTTTGAGCAGCTCTCGTTTGCATTCGGCATTCGGCATTGCGAGTCTGTGATTGAGGCTTCTGGCAGAGCTGATTGTTTCCTGGCGACTGCCTCCATTGTGCGGCAACTTCTGGGGGCAACTGTCGATGAGCGGGTAAATTGTTGGCAACTTCGGTTGCCCCGGAAAACGCGGGAAAACCCCAACCAAGCCAACCAGCAGGTGGCGAAGACAATGGCGAATGGAGGTATTTATTAAAACAAACTTGGGTCGAACACCATCCTCCTTCCACATTTCTCCTTTGGCCTTGGGCAAAAGTTTAGCGCAGTTTCGCAGCTGGGGGAGTTGGCATAAAGGCTGCCAGGATTCAGGATGCAAGCTGGCAGGCGCATAAATGTCACTTAGGCGCTTCTTGACGCCTCCAAGCCACCATCCTCATCACCATTGTTCGGTAGCTGCTGGATCTCCAGTCAACTATTCGGGGGAATTGCGAAAGTGACAATTTCGACAGGCGCCGGATGAAGCGAGTCCTGCGGGAGGCGATGCGAGTCCTGAATGAATTCTCGAAGAACTCGAAGGCGTCTGGCCAAAGTGTAAGTGCAAATTCAGTTTGGTTTAATTTCGACAGGCTGCGGTCGCGGTGCTGCATTCTCCCCTTTCCACTTTCCACTCTCCATTGACCAAAAGCTGTCACCAAGAGTCCTGCCCCTTGAGTCCCCCGGGAGTCCATCTCCCCCTCCTCCTCTGCCTGCAGCAGGTCCTCCGATCTTTATTAAGTTTTTCGCTTACTTCTCTCGCCAAAGTTTTTCCGAGGACCTAGCAAAGGCAAAGGCAAGTTTCTCACTGTTTTTCTACATTTCGGCTTTTGTTTTCTGGTGCAGATTTCATCTAGCCATCCTTCGGGCGAAAACTTTCCCTCTGTGAAGTGTCCTCTGCAAATTTGTTGTCTATCGCCTGGCTAACAGCTAGGAATAAAAAATAAAAAACTAAAATAAATCGCCAGAAGTTTGCATTGGCAGCAAATTAATATTTTGCAAATATTTGGCAAACTTTGGCTAAGTTTAAAAAATTATTATTTGCGGATTTCATTGATTTGGTGTTATTCTTCTCTCGGCTCTCTGTTTTATGCCAAGGAAATTGAAAAAAACTTTCGTCTTTTATTGACAGTGAATTAAAGTTTATGCAAAATTGTGCACTGAGGTCACTGACAAATACGAGAGAGCTGTGGTCATTTGCGAAAGCCTAAAAATATACCATATATGTGGAATATTCCAGAAATAAGTATTCAAAAGTCTTTGGGGGAAAAGCGGAAAACTCTAGTGCAGTTGGAATGCTCGATTGCATTTGAGTTATTGCTCGGAAGCAGCTGACAGGACCTCCTCGTCCTTTTAGCAAACACCTCCCGAATATTTGCTCCATGTCCTTGTGCATTGCCACACACATCCCATTGGTACATATTCAATATTTTGGTATTTATCTTGTCGGACAATAAAATAAAGCAAAATTCGCATGTCGTGCGGAGGGGGGGAGTTGGGAGGTAAAAAAGGATAGCCAAGTGGGTCACTAAGGTCCTCCAGTTGCTGCTCCAGTTCCTGGGTAAATGCCACAGGAATTTACATGTTCGAATTCTCTTTAAGCATTTTGTAAGCCGCTCTGCTCTGCTGTTGTCTTGGCCATTGGAAAACAACGTAAGCCGCTTGGATCCCTATTTTTGCTGCTCTTCCTTTGAAACGGGATACTTTTGCACTCGAATAAGCATTTTAAAAGTCAATTTAATGGACGCATAGAAATAAATTATATATTTGAAATAAATTGAGTAAATTAATGTACATCACTGATAAAAAACGTAGCAAATCCTAAGATTTCATATTGAAATTTAAATATTTTTTATTTACTGTGAAATTTTATTTAAACTAATATGAGTAATACTGAATGTAATATTTTCTACCTTGATTCAAATATTTTCCAATTAAATCATGCAATTAAATATTTTTTAAAGTTACAATTAAATTTTTTTTTAATCTAAACATTTAATACGAATCTTTTAATTCAATGCACAGTTATTTATTTAAGCTATGCCATTTTTTTCTGTGTACCTTGACAGATTTGATTTTTTACCAGTGTAACTGCTAATTCTCTGCTGTCGTTTGTACACAAAAAATTCACATTTATATATTTTTCTACAATATTAACGAGTAAATAAGATGCCCGAGGACCTGTGCCAGCAAGTCATTGACCGCAATGTGCCGCAGTTGATACAATTGCTGTTGGAATCCCCCATCGATGGCAAGAAGAAAGAGGGCGATGTTGAGGTGGACCCTGCCACCCTTGAGCGTTGCCTCCGCTTTGCCAAGAATCACCTGGAGTCTCCCGATCAAGAGGAATCCTCGCCGGACGCCGTGTGGGCCACCATGAACCACTTTGCGGAACGCTATCACAGCGAAAATCTGTCCGAATTCGCCGAGACCTTCAAGCAGCTGGGCAATGTGGTGCTGACTCACCCGATCTGTGTGAACCACCCGCTGCAGAATCTGCATTGGCGCCTCATCGACTTTATGCTATCGGTGGCCTATAGGGCCGTTCAGACGGCCCGTCGCCATTTTAGGGAAATGGATCAGAAGCGTAAGAACATCCTGGAGGCTCTCACGCTGGCCACCGAAAGTTCAGATGTTGCCAGCGAAGAAATAAAAACAAGTGATTCAGAAATTGGTAAGTTATCTAAGGATGAGTATCAGTTGTCTTTGGATGAAAAGATTTTGGAGGAAAAGTCCCAGAGTTCGAGGACGCTTGTTAACTCGGTTAACTCGATTAATCCTCCACTTTCGGAACCGGAACCAATTTCATCATTGGAAACCTATTCTACTTTTGGAAAACCTCTCCCCTACAATAAACTTGTTCGAGAAAACTTTGCCTTAAAAGATGCCCAAATGGAGCTTGAACTGAAACTCTCTCAGTTTGAATCAACGGCCGAGAGACCCACGAGGGTTAATCGCTACAAAGAATCGAATAATTTGCTTTCCCGTATTCAAACTCCCTGGTGGCAAGTGGAGGTCCATGTCTATCATAAGCCGCAAATTCTGGCCAGTAATTTTAGCCAGAGTTATGGAGATTATTTAATCTATCAACTCAGGGAAAATCGCCATTCGGTGGGAAAAATGAGCGAAGAGCATCAGTTGTTGAATGAACTCATTATTCTTTTCTTTGCAAACGTAAATAGTAGATATTTTGAAGTGCTGGATGACAAAATGGAGCTAAGACCAGATGAACCACGCTCTTGTGCCCTCAAACATTTACTAGAAAATGCCCACTTCGGTGAGATTATTAGCTCTATTAAGCAGATGCGTTATCTAAGGGAGTTCATAGAGACCCATGGCATAAAGATAGTATGTGATGATCGCTTGGAGACCCTCTCCTTTTTCAGTGTAGCCCTAAGACGACTTCTTCGACCTGTGATGGAATTCCTGGTTTATTTCAAGAGGCGCTTGGCAACGGGTATTGAAACCCCCACCCTAAAACACTTTGCAGATACTTCAAGGGGTCTCTTAAAAAGTATTAGGTGGCTGTATGAACTCTGCAAGGAAACTAGTGAAGAACAGCCTTCATTGAAAGGTTTAAAAGTTTTGAACACCCTATTCACACGGTGCTCCAGAAATATTCACCCCAAAATCCTGCGATCCCTAAGCGCCTCCTTACTCCTGCACTCCCTGGAGGCCTACTGTCGTTTTTTGGATAGCTGGTGGTCTACGGGGGAATTCAACGATTGGCACGAGGAGTTTCCCTACCAAAGAATCGAAATCGAAAGACGAACCGAGTATGAATTAAGAACCGTATGGGTAGGGATACCAAATAAGGATATATTTCATATCATTCAAAGGCATATTTCCGCGTCCAGTGAAGCTGTGGCCATTCTCTACGATACCCGAAAGATGGGTGACTTCAACTTTTGTCACAAAATCAAACCGGAAATATCCCTGTATAATTTATTAATGGCAGCGGTTTTAAGGGAACTGGCTCATTATCAAACTGAGAAAGTAGAGGAGGTATTCTATGCCCCGGATATCCTGGAGCAGTTAAAGTCCACCGATGACGATGTAGTTCGTCGGTTGTTCTACTCACTTTACATGGAAACTCGACCGGATCCGAGGAAGCCCGCAGCTTATTCGATTCAGGAGTTACTGAGAAACTTTCAGGCCTGTGCTCACTACACTCCTATAAAGGATATCATCTCGCAGGAGCTGAAAAGATTACTAAACCGCCGAAGCCTCTTGGCCAACTCTTATGTCTCTGAGATGGTAACTGATTTTAGGATGGGAAAAATGGTAAAACACCTGCGAAATGTTTTTCTTCTCTCAAACTATGATCTGCTCCGTAATGAGTTTGAGTTGTTCTTTGAGTATCTTGAAAGAAATCAAATGTTAGAAGCCTCTGATAAATTAAGGGATATCGTCCGCTCCCAGGATCCCAAGCTGGGTTATTTATTTCACGTCTCTATGACCAAACGACATCCCGAATTAATGCGTCTCATGGTCTACGACCCTTTACTCAATCGTGTGATTAGCCAGGAGCAAATCGAACAGATGAACAACTGCTTTCGTCTCATATTGAACATGCATTTTTCACTATATCAACTGAATAAGTTACCTCCCTTCGATAACTCAAAGCAACAGCGATTGGTTAAAATTTTCCAATCTCTGAAAGATTCTCTAGTTTCCGTGCTCAGGGAACAGCTATCACATCTTAATTATATGAAACAAGTTCTACAGGAACTTTATTCTTTCAAACTTGGATTAAATGAGTTTACCTCTTTGACTGAGCTTAGAAAAAATCAAACAAGGTTCATAATTAAATTAAGAGAATTCTTGAGTGACGAATCTAAAGGATGCAAATGCTGCTTGGAGGAGCTCCTTAGTCTGTGCAAAGTGCTCTGGTATCGATGGCAAAGGGTCCACGTCCTTATAAACGATTATTATAGGCAGAAACCGAAAAACGTTTTCGACATAAAGTATGAGTGGATGAGGTACAATTACGTGCACTGCACTTTAAAAAAAATCCAGGCTTTAAAATCCGTCCATTTTATTCACTAAATATTTTAAGTTTTAAAAATGACATGTTGTATATTTTTACAGAAAATTATTATCAATTAAAGTTAATAAAATAATGTCATGGGATGGACAAAATATTATTATTAATTTTAAGGTTTATCTTTTATATATTTTTTCAAAAAATAATTCAGAAAATGATTATTTAATTTTAATTTAAAATATTTTAGTTATTATATCCAAAAATATATATATCTTTTAAATATTAGTTATTTAAGCCCAGGACATATCTTGAATATATTTTCAATTGTGACAGCATTTATCTCTGATTTGTTGCTTAATCGTTCGTTTGTTGTCCACCTTTTTTATCGCCCGCCCAGCCCGTTGTCCGCAAATAAGTTTTATCAATTTCCAATGGAAAATCGAGTGTGCGTCGTCGTCTGTGACAGAAACCGCAAATTAAATCGTTTGGGTGCCGGGCAAAATTTATTTCTAGCGCGTGGCAAAAGCCACAAGCTCCACACGCATCGCACATAGGATCCTCTTTTTTGAACCAAACTAAAAAAAAGAAACCAGAAATAAAGCGTGGAAAATTAGAGCAGGCCATGCCAAATCCAAAGCCAAATCACAGCCAGCAACCGAAATTATTCTGCGGATTTTGCGGCCTCGGCGGTGGGACAGTGTCGATGGGTCCGGAGGGGTAGGGGCGGTGGTCCAAACACACGTTCACACTCCGGGCCATAAATTGCACCGACGCCTTGTTGGCCAATAAATACTAGAGTCTTGATATGCAGCGGTCGTCGGCGCCAAGTGCCATAAACTTTGGTCCCCGGGACAAGGGGAATGGCTAATTAAAGTTTGTGCCGCATTTTCAAATTAAAAATTGGTAATTTGTGTACAGTTTCCACTCCTCCATTTTTTATGTTTTTTATTGCGTGGGCGGTGATCTCGGCGGTTTATGCCCCTGACATCATCAGATGGGGCGAGAGAGGACGTAAAATCTGCGCCATAGAGGGAAAAGGACAGGTTTATGTGCGGAACTAGACGTTTTATGGTCGGGCATTTATTTTTTCTCATTATCTCCCGCGGTCAGGCGAAAATCGCGCCTTAAATTTGTCATTCGAATGCAGGCCACTTGAAAGGGGATTTCCCTGACTGACTTGTGCTATTTAGCATATTTAATAAATAATGCAAAAACATCACTTTATTCTCTCTTTTTTTTAATCTCCTCTGGAAGTCACAAACTCACACACAAAAATACACAGAAAGTGTGGGTAAACATTTTTCATTTCGCTAAAAATATTTTCATTTACTTTGCCGGCCACACATTGAAACCACTGCAACCGCATTTGAAAAACATTTTAAATACCTTTTACATTTTTACCATTTGTTTTTATTTGGCCATTTCCCATTTCACAATTCGCATTTTCCATTTCTGGCAGCGGAAATGTTTTTGTGTGATTTTTGTGCGCGGGTCTAACTTAGCAGAGCTTTATTTCATTTTGTTTCCAATTTCACCGAGTCTCTGTTTCTGTTTCGGCTTGATTTCAAATTTTTCAATTTAGTGGCATTTTGCTCTTTGGTGGCATTTTATTTAATAACAGAAATTCTAATTAAATTTTTTATTATTTACCCTTTGAGTTAGTTTTTCCGCCCCAACGCACGCTATATTGATTTCAATCGCTGTTTGTGTTTGCTTTTGGGCATGGCAAAGTGGTGTCTCAGTCGGTATTGGTACTGATTTAATGATTTTCTCACAGCCCAGCTAGGGTAAATAGTAAATATTTACTTATTTGCTATTGGCACCCCCACCAAATAAAAATAAAAATGGGAAATAGAAAAGCAGAAGCCCGTGCCACTTTTCAATAAAACAATCAACTGTCAAAAAAATATCTAAACACACAGTGGGAATTTTCCAGGCGTAATTGGAGCGGGTATTTGTCACAGGACCACCAAAGTTGATTTGCATGTCATTAACACACAAATCGAATGCTGCTGCAGGCGGCTGAAAATATAGATGAGGGTCTGGGGGTTCAACGACTGCAACCCTGTAGACTGCAGACTGTAAACAAGCCGCCACTAAAAATATCACATGTCATTCGAAGGATGAGACGGAACCGGAGGCGACTAATTAGAGTGTCTGCGAGAGGGAAATCCCCGAATATTGTGTGGATTGTGTGGGCGAAACGCAGTCAATATTGATGTGGCAGCCCGAGGAAAATTATCTTTCAGACTACACAGATATTTTCCCATGGAAATGCTCGGAAATATTAGGACCACATGGGAATTTATCTTATCCACCCAAACCAGACCAAACATTTACACATTGGCAAGCATCAGGCAGAACTTCTTCAATTCGCCAGCCCAAAGCACTTCAAGTGGCAATCTGTCCGAACTTTGGAGTAGTAGAAAATCACAGCCCGACAACAGGTGCAAAACAGACAAAATTTTTAGGAGCATGTGCATTCTGTGCGTTGTCTTTTTTCAGTTTGCATGGGAAATGTAAACAAAACAGGGGCTATGTTGTAGGTATACACAGAAAAAAGCAGTCTAATTAAGAAACATTTTCTTACTTTAAAAACGTTTTGTCTTAGAAGTGAGTCAATAACGATTGTTCCTTTGGGTCATAATATTTGAAGAACTATTGTTTTTATTTTAAGAATTTTCTTATCTTAGTTTAGATCTAACATTTTTTCTTAAACACTTCTTCTGAAATACAAAATTTTGTTCCTAAATTTAAACAGGATTTTTTCTTCGGTGTTCATTTCCTATGGTAGTTGGCAAAGGGGAAATATGTGTAAGTAAGCTTTAATGGCCATGGTAATAGTTCGTAGTCTACCGATCTACCAGCTGCATCCCACTATCCCAAGTTGTTGCGGTTCCTGAAATGCCAAGCGAACAGGAGGCGGAGGTGGTGAGCCAACAGTCGGCATTCGGATGTAGTTCAAATCCCAACAAAATTATTAATATGACTTTAGAGAGCGGGAACTACTGGTGGGCTGTTGCTGCTCCTGCTGGTAGTGCTGAAGTACCCAATACACCCCCTGCGGTTTCCAAGACAGCCGACGATGTATCTGCAGGATGCGTTTTCACTCCTGTCTGGGTCCAAATTATGCCTAAGCCCTGCCAACTGCTAGACGAAAAATTATCTCAAGTGCAGAGAGAGATGTTTTTATTTCCTAGTTAAATGGAGGATTATGGATAGAAAAAATAATCCCAATAAACTCTTTAAAATATTAAAAGCATTGTAAGAAAATTCGTTTGCTGTTAAAAAAATTCTTCTTAGTTTAAATCTTTAAAACTAAGTTTAAATACGACTATTTTAAATAGTTCAAGTAACTAAAATAATTAGATTTTTGTCGATCAAATTTTAAATTAAACATTTATAAAAAATGTTTAATTTAATTAAATTTTAAGTTCCTGAACTATTTTTTCCAGTGTTTATGTGTGTTTGGTAGAGTGTGTGTGTATCTTTCTGATACTTGCACTCGGGCACTAAATTTGCTGCACATTATTTAGTTGTTTGAGGCGAGAGCGGCGTCATTGTCTCCTCGCCCGACGATTCTGTTATCTGTTTGTGGTTACGGGATTACGGCTGCAAAGCCCACATCCAGGTGCATAGTATACCTCATATATATATATTTATGTACAAAGATATAGAACGGCCACGCCCACATCTCGGTAAACGAAACCGCCTCAGCCTTTCAGCTGTGTTTGAACTTCTCAGTTCTGCCGAGAGTTTCGGACCCTGACTCGGCTGAACTTCAAGGCTTTAGTTTAGTTTTAGCTGGAACATCGCCCAGCATTATCCCCACCTTGTTTACGCATTTGTGCTGCGATTTTTTTTACTACTCCTGCTGTTGTTATCCAGCTCCTCGCCCTCAACAAGTTTATCGCAGCAACTCTCGCTCCGACTCTAATTTACATAACCACGCAAATTAGTTTTGCGTCTACTGCAGTTTTTATCTGCTCCCAACTTTGTCACGACCCTCGCTGCATACCACACCCCTTGCCAAACCCACCCACCATTTCGACCGCCCACCGACATCGCAACTTAAATTTAGTTGCCAAAGTTATTTAAACTTTTCATACCCTTCTCGCTGGGGCACTGCAATTATGGGCCGGAGTTTGCCAGGAAGGAAGTTAAGGTGACATCTTCAGGTGTTAAATGTGAAAGCTTTTCAGTTCGGGGAAGTCTGTTTGGAAATTTCCTCTAAAAAGGTCAGGAGAAGATATTACTTTTTATTATGATTTTATAACTTTAACTACAATTGGTGGTCAAATGTATACAGATTAAATAAAGATTTATATAGGTACCAAATCCATTTCTATGTCTTTTAAAATTGGCTTAAATCATTTTTTCCGAATTTTTCTTTGGAGTATTTCTTTATAAAAGGGTATAATCCTTCCAACTTGAATGTATATCCTTTTTCTCATTTTTTATTCACTCTTTAGTAGATCCGCAATTTTTTATTTAATTTTTTTTTACTTTTCGAAAAATGAATTTCATGCAACTTTTTTGGCTGCTGCACCGCGCCCGCAATTTTAATAGACACACAGACCCCTTCACCTGTCGGCTGCTTTTCGCAGGGTGTGGGGAAGGGGGGCCTTGTCTCGGTAGTTAAGACAACAATTCATTTAACATAGAAGCAGACTTCCAGCCTCTTCCTCCCCCAAACTCCCGCCAAAAACTTCACAGCCCCCTGCTAACTCGCTCTTTTTTCGTAAAAGTTTGCTAATGGCCCCCTGCCAGGCACAGTGGTTGGAAAACCGTTTACGAAGAGTGCTTATGGTAGATAAAAATGGCACTTGTTAGCTAAGCTCTGTCATTGTAGTGGTGCCTTACAGAAGGAGTTGATTTGGGGCTGGCTTCACTGTACCTACCGGCTGTACCGTCCATTGTTCCACAAGTTTTATATGGGTTTATTGTGGGCTTCGCAAAACAACTGATTGGCAGCCCAGTCAAAGAAAGTTTATATTATTAATGTGGCCCTGAGCTTGGGAGCGTTAGAAGGGGGCCGAAACGCGGGCTGCTGCCTTCAGTC